CTGCATCCAGAAGCTACCGTTCTCGACCGGCTCTCAGCAGTTCGACGTCACTCTCTCCGACGCGTCTCCTTCTGCGAGTGGCAAGGGTCCCAAGGTCTACAAGATCAAACTCACCCACGTCGCCGAGATCAACCCTGAAGTCCTCCACCGTTTTATTCAAGGAAAGGGGTCGCACGACAACACCGTTTTGACCGCGATAACTGGTTTGTTTCCTGACACCAATATCCCGGTTTCTCTTTGTGCTGACAGTCTACTTAGCTCTCAACGTCGTTATCAGAGCTCAGCCCAGCTTGTCCTACCCCTTCAACGTCCGCTCGTTCTTCACTAATCGCGAGACCAAAGACATCGGCAGTGGTCTTGAACTATGCAAGTTTTCTTCTCTTCCATTTCACAGTTCATGTTATGCTGATGTGGATTCTCTCTAGGGCGCGGCTATTTCCAGTCGGTTCGTCCTGGGATTGGCAAAATGCTCATAAACGTGGATATCTCGACGGGGACGATGTACAAAGCGGTATGCACTTCATTAACGACTGTTGTCTTTGTGGCGGACCTGCTCATCACGAATACAGGGGAAGCTTCTCACTCTCTGTTTAGAATTCATGAAGAAAAACCATCCCAACGCTCTGAGTCCTACCCACGGCCTGCCCGACCGGGAGCGAATTCGCCTGCAGAGGTTCATCAGCGGCATCCGCATCCACACCACACACCTCGGCCCCGATGGCCAGAAGCACACCACCCCGCGAGTGTTGAAGAAGCTTAGCTCCGCTCCCGCCAACAAGCTCACCTTCACCATGCGCGAAGGTAAAACAATGACCGTCGCCGAATACTTCCAACAGACTCAAAACAAGCCTCTACAATTTCCCGACGTGATCTGCGCCGAGGTGAGTGTCTCACTTTTTGCTGCTCATCTTCATCTCAATCTCTCATACAGGTTGGCTCCGGAGCTCTCATTCCGCTCGGTAAGTAGCGGTCGTTTTCTGTTCTTTCCTCTTTTGACATTCTTTTCAGAATTGTGCGAGGTCCCGCCTGGCCAGCTCATGCGCAAGCAGGTTCCTCCCGAGAAGACCAAGGACGTGTAAGTGCTCGACTGCTATGACTACACTTAGGCTGATATGTGCGTTTTCTAGCCTCGACTTCGCGACGAAGAAGCCTCTTGACCGTCTCTCGAGCATCAAGAAAGGCTTGGATGTTCTGGCTTACGGTCAATCCGAGTATGTCCGTCAATTCCAAATGAACGTCGACCACGCTTCTGGCCCTCTTCGAGTTCAAGCAAGAGTCCTCAAGCCGCCGATGCTCAAGTATGGCCCTGGTTCTCGTCAGTTGACCATTGTGAGTGACATTTTAGGAGCTTGATCTTTCGCTCAAGGTTCTTGTTAGACTCCTCGAGACGGTGCGTGGAACATGGTTGACAAACGATTCTTCAAGCCCGTCGTCATCGAGCGATGGGTTGTTGTGGTCTACGAGCGGGAGAATCGATTCAACAACCAGGCCGCGCAAGACATGATCAGTGTGTTTGTCCCACATTCCAGTTTTCATTCAATCTCATTGTCGTTGCGAAGACGGTCTTTGTGCTAGTTGCCGCGACGTCGGTTCGTTAACACTCGCTTTCTTCACCGTGAATCAATTTAACAACCATCTCTTTCAGGCATCAAGCTAGCACCTACGAAATTCGTCTTCTGGGAGAACGGCCAGGGACGTATTGCCGATCAACTGAGGGTCTGTCGACTTGCACTTTCACTGCATGCCAACGCTGATACCCCCTTTCTTTTCAGGCTGCGGGCGCTGCTTGCGCAAAGCAAATGGGAAAGGGGCCTCAATTGATGTTGGTGGTGCTGGTCAGTCAAGATCTACCTCTCGTGCATGCTACTGTGTTCTTACCCAAACCCGTTTAGCCTGAAGGTGGTAATGATATCTACACGAACGTCAAGCACTTTGGGGACATCACTGTATGTGCCTTTCTGTTACTTTTTGTCGCAGTTTCGGCTGATGTTGACTACAGATGGGCGTCGCAACTCAATGCCTCAAGGTATTTCGTGGCCAATCTCGTCGAACAGACATCCTTACTGTTCCCAGTCCTCCAAGTGCTTCCGTGCCAAGCCCCAGTACTGTCAGTGCACTTCTTTTGTAGCTTTTTGCGGTTCTTGAACTGACGGTCTTCTACGTCAGATGCTAATGTTTGCCTCAAGTATGTTCTACTTCCGGCAGGGTTAACGTGGAGCATTCAATTTTTTCTTTGCCCAGGATCAATGTGAAATTGGGGGGCATCAACACCATTCCAGGTTTGTTCATTCATCTTGCAAAGACCGCATCTCACCAATCTTTCGTAGACCCGAGCTCGGTTGGTGTGCTGACTGATCCCCACAACCCGACTATCGTCATGGGTGCGTTTTCTTTCGTCTGTGCTTCTGGTTATTCAAGTCTGACCGTTTTTCCAGGCGGTGCGTTCAAGCTCATGCTCGCGGCTTTTCCCATTTTTTTCGAGGTCGCTGACATGTTTGTTTCGTCGGAATATAGCTGATGTGAGTCGCACCGTCTTACTGTTTCCTTTGTTGCTAAGGTGTGTTTCCTAGGTCATTCACCCTGCGCCTGGTTCCGAGGGGCGTCCGTCGTTTACGTCTCTCGTCGCGAACGTCGACTCGGACACTGCCAAGTATGTTGCCGCCTCTCGCGTCCAGACTTCCCGCCAGGAGATGATCGAGGAGCTCGAGGGTATGGCTCAACACTGCCTTGGCATGTATATGAGGTTCGTCTCGACTCTCGAGTTATATTTGCTGCGAACCTCACTCGCTCGCTCATTCACTGCATTCCGAGGGGTCGTAGACGAAGACTTCGTCTACTCATGGAGACGGAGGTAGACGAAATTACAGTATAATCACCCTTTCTGCGCCGTTGTGCTATCCTTTCTGCGCTTCTTTGGCCTTACAATGGTGTACTAGGGCCCCTAGGTCCACGTTGTGAAGCAGAAAGTGGAAATTTCCGGTCGGCAGGTCCGATTTGGCCGATTAACGTCAACTTCATCAATATCTCGACTATATTTGGAACGAGCGCGTAATTTCGTTCAAATTTTGCTGGAGAAGACCTAGGGGTGTTAGAAATTGATAGTTGAGGGCTGTAGTTCAAGAATATGAAAAATGAGGAGGTTCATGTATGATTAAAGCGCAAAACAAGAGCTTCACGTCGACGGAGGTAGGCTGACGTAGGTGAAATTTCGTCGACTCGGCGTCGGCGAAGCTCGGCTACGGCGTAGCCCGAGGTAGCCGAAGGTAGCCTGACGTAAACTGACTTCGGCTACCAAGGCCCGGAATGCAGTGATTCTGAAAGATATCGCGAGATGGCTGAGAAGAAGGCTGCGGGAACCACCGCCCCGACCTTTGTTCAACGCGAGACTGTAGAGAGATAAAGTCAGGCGTTTCAATTTTTTTTTTCTTGTTGTGTGCCTTTTTTTTTTGTTGATTGTGTTGCTCAATAAAATGGAGTTTCCTTTTTAGGAAGTGGTTTGACCTGGTGCTGGTGAAACCACTTCCTTTTTGGGAAGGGTCGAGTATGTTGAGTTGTGAGATAAGTAGAGTATCAAGAACTCACTATTGAAACCCGCCATCGTGGGCCAGTGGCCAGCTCCCCTGAAGCCTTCCAGAGAGGATTCCGCCCGCTACACCAATTGCAGTCGACTCTGATGTATTTCTCATAAGGTTCGTCGTTCTTCCCCTCCTATTCTTTCCCATCCTAACTGCCTTTTATCAGCTATCAATAAATCTTGTAGCCATTTGCGGTTATATGCAGTCTTGATGTAAAACCACCATGTATCCGAGTCAGAAGTGTGTTGTCCTAGAATCAATTGTCTTTGCCGTTCGTTTAACCAGCTGTGACTTTTTGCCCTCCCAATGTCGACGTCTGTTGCATGAGCGGTCATCAACCTTGCTTCTATGGCACTGTGCTCCACAATGCATAACTCGACATTTTTTTCGTGGATTCCGCCAGTAGGACGATCCATCGCGGTCGATTTCTCGCCTCGAATGACGTCGGCGTCACACGTGCCGCTTCAAGCTTTGACCTTTCACCTCTTGCTACCATGTCTTCAGCTGAGCTTCGCCTTCCCGCCGTTTTGCTGACTGCAGCCAGGGTTCCTTTGATAGCAGTTGGACTGCCTCTTGGTCTGGGCTTTTTTAGTGGTCGTCCTACCGCCAAGGTTGTCCAGAGCGATTGGTACAAGGCGGGTATTGTATATGCGATAAATTTGTCTTGTCATCCTCAAAGTTCACCAGAATCTGCGCACCCCTCCTGGTCGTCCCCCTCGACAAGTCTTTCCTATTGTCTGGCCTCTCTTGTACATCTGTAAGAACTGTGGCGATTACCTGCCCTCCAATTTGGTTCAATAATGTATCAAGCTATGGGCTATGCTTCCCACCTTACGGTGAGGGCGTTGGACAACGCAGCATCTCCTTCCGCGAGGTATCCAAATGTTCTTCGGAATTTTCACTGGCACCGAATTTCGTTGAATCAGGTCGGATTTGAAGCTTGCCCTGGGCTTATACTACACTCAGTTGGGATTGAACTTCCTTTGGACACCTTTGTTCTTCGGCGCAAAGAAGGTATTGGAGGTTCATCCTGATCCGTGTATCTCATAGAGTCGTCAGACTGGAATTGCCCTCCTGAACATCGGTTCGCTGACGGCGACCACATTTTTTATGACGGTACGACGCCCTTCTCTTTCGTCATTATCCGTCGAATTCTCTTTTAGAACTTGCTTGCTGCACACGCCCCTGGCGCGTCGTACATGCTTTTGCCATATTGCTTGTGGTTATCATTTGCCGCGTACCTCAACGCTGGAATTTGGTGGTTGAACAGAAGAGAAAAAGGGGAATAACATCGAATAGAACCACTACCCAATAGATAATTGTCGTGCGATAGAAAACCAAAACAAAGGAGGCCAAGGATCACCATCCATCCATCCATCCAATGACAGCCTGATGGAAGATCCACTTGATGTCGAGGGGAAAAAGAGGTCGCGCCCGGAATCGAACCGGGGTTGCCAGAAATCTTCTTCAGAATCTGGAGTGATAACCGCTACACTACGCAACCACGAGTAATACGAAGATAATATAAATTAGGCCATAACGCACAGAGAACCCATGTCATATAGCTCCCCACCCACCCTCTCCCTCCCAGTCTGTCCACCACAAGATACTTCCTTCGATACTTCCATCTCTTCTCTGTAAAGTCATTTCGGGACTCAACAACGCTGCGGACTGGTTACGTATTTTAAATGCGTTCTTTGGTACATTGACTCCCGAGACCGCCATATTGGCGCCAATACTGTCAAAGCTCACGAATCGAATCTCGAAACGTTTAACCAGCTTCAGACCTGCTTATCTCGTCAATAGGTGTCTTTGGCTTTCCGATGGCTCATCATCCACCTCTCATCATCCACCTGCTCCGCCTCTACCACGTCGCCTCCTGTCCTCTTGCGAATCGGTCATACCCGACCTCTGGGCACGTCTTTGACTTCTTCCACCCTGTCCGATTTCTTCGCAATAGTGTGTGCTGTCTTGAATAGCATACACCAGCATCTCTTCATTCAAACTACACGAGAACACCACGCAGCGGCTGGGCTGAGAAGCTTTTTACATTGCCTCGATTGCGGTTCGGCAGTTGGTCGCTCCCGTCTCCTCCTTGGCCGCCGCTGCTGGGACCGCTGAAACAGGGCCACCGCAGTTGCCACATTTGTATCGCTCTGCATGTGCATGTATTGACATTCTCGCCACATCTGCACAACAGCTGTGCTTAGCAGAGTGCTCTCGTCTATCCCCTCACATTCCTGCCCCAGTTTACACGTTGGATCGCGATGCATTGTCTGAATTTTCTTCTTTCAAACCCAGCGACGCCAACAACGTGTCTATTATGCTTTTTGCCTAGTCATTTACCCGACTTGACGCAAATGCCGAGTCGAGCACTTAGGGAAATGAAATCAGTGCATTCTTTACACGGTAAACATGAGCCTCGTCCACTTTAGTGGGCTCTTAGACCCATCCTGCCTTTGTCAATCCCGTTCTTGGCGTTAGCGACAAAGAGTTTATTTTCTCTCCTTACGCGCTTTTAAATTCTGCTTTCTTCTTCGTCTGCTCAACCCTTCAGTCCTGCCATGCACCGAGGGATGAGCTACCGCAAGCCCGTTCCTGCCTACATTCCGTCTCCTCCTCCGTCCCCAACACCTCAGCCTTCGGGTGCTCGCCAAATAGACGAACAACCACCGGTAAATCCCTTGATTGACAATCACCGTTTACCTCGTCTCAAACGCCTAAAGCTACCGGAACACTGGCACGATGCAATAACGCGGGCGCGACAAACCTACGGCAGGAATCCTGTTCCATCAAGCGATTCGGGACTTTCTTGCTCCATTTCGAACGATGAACTGGGTACTCACAGCGCATCTGGTCATGCATCTCGTCTGGTAGCTAAAGTCCTCGACCCGTTGCCGCGAGTCGCTTCACCGGTTCATTTTGCCTCTCATTCGGTGAACATTGGTTTGGGTCACCATCGGGTGCGTTTTCACACTCCGTGAGGCAAGAAAGACCTCATGCCCAACAGCTATACCGCCCACCGACTCCTCCGCGTCGTAGTGACCACAAGCTACGTGAACCCGATCGAGTCAATCTTAATCAGACCCCAATACTAGCCGAGGTAATTTTCTTTACTCGTGTTTTGATACTCTTACATTGATACCGACTTCCCCAAGCCTTTGAAACCAAAAGTGGTTGCAATTCCAGTCCGCCAGTCGGAAGGAATGTACACCTGGCCTATCAAAACGATGACAGCCGAGCCGTCCTCGAGGCGGGAATCGACAACGATGTCGGTTTCCTCCTCGGATTGGCAGCTGGAAGAGTTTTCGAAAAGCAACAGGAACTCTGAGCTGCCTGACCAGCCTGTTATATGGTGGGATAAATTTCGGTGGATGGGTGACCTGTTGAAAAATAGGTTGAAGGACTTCCAGCACCATAAATCCCTCTGTTGACCGAGAACGAGGGAATGAGGCGCTGCGCGTCTCGTTGACGTTATTTAGGACTGTCTGGTGCCCCTTCTTTCTATACCTTAGGTTCCCAATAATACAGTGTATATTTTTTGTCATTTTTCGTGGCAAGTGGAGAGCTGATGACATAATCAACATCCGTCACCACTTATCGTCTCCAACTCCAACGTTCCTGCTACCCACCAATGCCTCTATGAGAGGAAGGGGCTCTCCCCGAATCCTTTTCGTTGCAAAGAACTTGCCACTTGACGCGTCATGAGCAAGCGAGACAAAGAACCACAGACGGGACGAGAAATCTTCGAAGGCAGTGATTCTGGTGCAGAAAACCGCCCGTTTATACCAAAGTTGCGGTCGGATCCGATACCTCAGCGACTTCCGCGAACACTAGAAGAATTTCGACAGGTTTGTCGCGCGCCGACAACCTATGACGCGTTCGGTCTGAATGGTACTTGGTAACAGGATGAAGGCCGAGACAACAGAAAGCGTCGGTTGAAGGAGCTTTGGCGCCAATTACACGATAGTACGAAAAGGGCCATACCTGCACTCGATAACGCTGGACCCAATGCGGGGCTGACACCGGAGGTCGCCCAGCGATTAATAAATATGTATGAGAAGGAGTTGCTAAGAAAGTGCGGAGGGCATAATTCCTCGACTTCACCGATGGCCGGCATCGAATGGAAAGATTTCAAGGAATATGCGACAGCGAAGGAGGAAGGTGCACCATGACTTGCTTACCCGTTGCGCGGCTATTTCTTATGTCTGAATAGAACTCTGGAATATTTTTCACAGGGAGCTGGACTTGGACGGTAATGGACATCTAGACGCCAATGTAAGCGGAATAGAAAATATCTCTCAGCTCATTTCAGACGGGCGCGTGTAGGAACTGAGTGCCGCTTTGACCAGAGTCGGTACGTTGAACCAATTGATTCGAGGATCTTTGCGACCATTCCTTGCGCAGGGATTACACTTTCCACGGTCAAGCTTTCAGGTATGCTTGAAGAGTGACAGAAAATGCTTTCGCTTCATGGTATTTGCAGAGTTCATGACAACTCTGACTGCCTCTGAGCATTCACATTCGATCAGCTTTGCTGAATTTCGTGACTTTCTCCTCCTACTGCCAATGAGGGCTTCACCAGCAGAAATTTATCGCTACTATGAGATGAGAAGGTACCTCGGGGATGACGCGCGAGGTGCAGCCCGTGTCACCATGGAAGGTGCGCGTTTTCTCCTGTTCATGAAGGTTGATTTAGTAATATCTGCGATAGGCGATGTCAGCTTGAGCGCCGAAGATCGTCCAACAATATACCTCAGTCCGGAGCAAGGTTCTCATCTCAGCCAGAGATTTAATACAGCAACCGGCCAAGAGCTTTCAGACCACGAGGAGGAGGATGAAGAGAACGACCCCCACGCCCATGATTGGCTTGAAGGACATGATGCATTCAAGTTCCTACTTGCGGGAGGCATGGCAGGGGCAGGTGAGTGGTTGGAGTGCTCATTTCTCGTCTTTCCATTCAACTCTTTCTTTCCCTAGTCAGTCGAACATGCACGGCCCCGTTTGACCGCCTCAAAATATTTCTGATCACCTCGCCCTCCAGACCTGGGAGGGACACCAATTACCTCTGCGCACGGCCTCGGTGGTGGTGCGAGAGTAATCGGGAGTGCGATCGCTCGAATATATGCAGAGGGGGGTGTACTTGCTTTCTGGACCGGAAACGGTCTTTCTGTGGCAAAGATCATGCCTGAATCTGGTGAGGAAGATCTTCTCGTTCGCGTTTTCTTGGTGCTCACAGCACGCTAGCGATCAAGTTTTTTTCGTACGAGTCATCAGTATGTCGGTCTTCACTTCAATGAAGATTTTCTATCGAGCTGCCTTTTCTAGAAACGAGCGTTTGCCAAGTACTGGGATAAGGTTGACGACACTCGCGATATAAGTGGAGTCAGCCGTTTTTTGTCTGGCGGTATCGGAGGCATTACTAGTCAATTGAGTAAGTTCCAGTTTCCGCTTTGGAGTCTTGACGAATTTCGTACAGGCATATACCCTATTGAGACCCTCAAGGTGCGTTCATCCCTACGATCAATGTCATGAATTTACCGAAGAATAGACCCAAATGATGAGTAATACTGGCGAACTGAAGGGTGAATACCGCGAATTCCTCCTTTGAATCGCCCTTGACGTCCGTGTTTAGCTGAAGGAGCCCAAGCGCTCAAGGTATGATTGGATTGTAGTGACTTGTATTCATTTTCACCCCCGAAACATCTGAGCAGAGAGACGGACAAGCAAAACTTGTTGCAGCAGCTCGCCATCTGTGGAGTCTTGGCGGGTTTCGCGCCTATTACCGGGGATTGACTGTCAGTCCACATCCCACTTCATTAATAGCTGTCGCTCAACTTTCGGCATGTAGATAGGATTGGTTGGTGTTTTCCCGTAAGTACATTCCGCTTCATTCCCCCTACAATATCTTAAAACACGGTCAAAGTTACTCGGCGATCGACATGAGCACGTTTGAGGCGCTGAAGCTGGCCTACTCTCGTTCCACCGGCACGGATGAACCGGGGGTTCTCGCTACGCTTGCTTTTGGCAGTATATCGGGCAGCATCGGTGCAACGACTGTGTACCCTCTCAACCTGGTTCGTACTCGTCTACAGGCATCTGGCTCTTCGGGTCATCCGCAGAAATACACGGGTGTCTGGGATGTCACTACCAAGACCTGGGAACGCGATGGGTGGCGGGGATTCTACCGCGGGCTGTTTCCTACCCTTGCAAAGGTTTGCGTAGCGATATCCGTGGTTGATAACAATTCTGATCTATCTAGGTTGTTCCTGCGGTATCGATATCGTATGTGGTATATGAACAAAGCAAACGGAAGTGCGTGTTTCATCCGATTTTTTTTTCCTTGGGTTACTTCTCTCATACCATGTGCTATATATAGACTTGGGGTGTAATATAATAGATCTACTAGAAGGTGCAAGGACCACTTTGTGTTTGCTACTGCTACAGTATTACTTACATGTATTCTTATACTCAATTTCACACTGCTGTCGATCTCAGTGCGTC